TTCCTGTGCCAAACTGTGATTCGGCTGTGGACTAGTCTGGTCACCTCCTGCACATCTATGACATAAGAGTTTGGAATCCCCCACTTTTGATTAACCAAAGCTAGGCCTATCAGATGCACCTGGAGGTTGTGGCTAATCTTCAGTTTCTCTAGTCCTCAGCAAGGTGTCTTCAAAAAATAGATACTGTTGTTGGCTTGCTTAAGCCTGCTATAGTTATGCTTAACCACAATTCAAGATTCCTAAAACATGACATGATGTGCCTAATCAAAGCAGAAGGGGAAGCTTTCGAACTCCTTCCCCCCTAGATTTCCCCAGTCTCTGAGTGTTTTCAGTTTGCATGCATGAAAAGTATTTCAAACTCTTGGAATCCTTTCTGAACTCTAGCTAAGGAGGAAACAGCTGATGTAACTGCGGGAGTTTATATGACACAATGTGTGTCATTGCTCATGCTTCTGGACAGTAATTGTAAATAGTTACAGAGACTGCATACAGCCCAACTCAACTGCTCAAGGAATGAACCTGCCAGGAAGAGAATGTTTGCAGCCCTGCATCTATACAAAGAACCAAATATCTTGATTTGGCTGACATTAAAATGCAAAATCTAAAGGCAGGAGAGGTTAGGAGGGCTCGACTGAGAACTGGAATGTTGAATGGGAAGGCTGTCTAGTGATGCGTTAGAGACGAGACTTCAAGCAGTCCAGGCAAAAGTACTCTGCACATACTGTATCTGGTACCCCCTCCTTCAGAGGGATTATGAAAGAAAAACAATGATATCTGGACCTCCAATACAATTCTGGGAACAAAGCAGGCAATTGAACAATTTAAAAATTCTCATCTGGAAGCACCCCAGGGATCAAGGGAAGCAAAGTAGGTGTCTTCCAAGAAGCAGCAGTTTCTGATCAAGAGAGCAGAGTGGGCAGCAGACTGAGAAAGAGGAATCCAAGAAATGAAGAAAACAGCAGGAGATGGATTTCTGAATTCAGCAAAGACTTTGAGGAAAGTTTGTAATAAGAAAAAAGGAGAGACAGAAATCTAAGAACAGGCAAGATAGTGTTCTGGTTTTGGTTGGAAAGGAGAAAGGCAAATCTTTAAATAATCCAAAGGGCAGGTAATATCTTTAATAGACCACTTTAAAAAGTAGGTTTCAGCCCATATTAGTCTGTGCACCATTATATTATGGAGGGGGTTGGGGCTGAAATGGAAGTACAGTATAGGTTTCAAATTCCGCCCCTGGTGGCTGTTGGTGCGATTCTCTTTCCCAGCTCACTGAACAAAGGGATGCCAAGTATTCAGCATTCCCCCATTACCTGTTCAGAAGTTCAGGGTTACTTCCTGGCCAGGGATTGGGGATTATACACAGACTTCACTTTTCTGGGTAGGATACCTTTTGAATGGTAGGTCTTCTGAATTCCATTTCTGTCTACAGCATGAGATTAAAAAGTGGCAAGGACTGTGTGTTTGTAGTAATGAATGCTGAGTGGTACCCCACAAAATTTGGACATATGAGGATGGTGAAGATTAATAAAAGAAACAAATAATAATAATTCTTGCCATGCCAAGACGTCTCCCTCCAGCAAGAAGGTTCCTTGGTTTCCTGCAAAGACAGGACCCCATTTATTGCTCATTTGTTCATTTTTCACCTGTTCTTCCATGCAAGAAGATGCTAAATTTTGCACAGATCAATGCTTTTTCTGAAGAAAGAGCCATGTTGTGCAGGAATTGTAATAATTCTGTACAGACTGATATTTCTTCTGGGAGGTGGGGGATGGGCCAGAAAACATGCAAGGAATCTAATGAGATTTCTTGGAGGAAGAAGGGAATATCATTGAAGAAAACAGGCGTTTTCCCTCTTTTTATCATTGAGAGAGAAAGGGGGGGGCATTGAGATTTACATCCATACTTGATATGTGTGTGAAATTTACTTATCAAAATTCTGTGGGAAACTTTCCCATTCTGTATCATGGATCTATTTTGCTAAAATGCTCATCCCTGGTCTTGTAAAATTGACTGATACATGTGAGACAGCATGCAGAGTGCAGAAATCGGCATTCTATTTTTAAGAAACAATTAATCGTTCATTAAAATGAAAGTAACTCATGTATATTGCCTGTTACTTGATATTTAAAGAGTAACAAAATTGGATGAAATGGTGCTTTTTGGAAATGTTTTCTTAACAAATTAGTAGTGCCTGTGGCTTGAGTATCTTGTTGAGGTTTTTTCCCCCTGCTTGTGATGTATACAGTATGTTTTTATGATTGGTTTTAAAAAATTGTTCTCAGCACAATTCACTTGCCTGTGTGACTCCCCCAGCTCAAAACATGCCCACACCAATGGACTTGCCAACGTTCATCTTCAAAACAAGATTCTGATCCACTTGTTTAAAAGTGGTGATCTTCTGTTAATGTAGAATTTTCTAGCTTCTGTTAGATACATGGGCAAAATCCAAAGAACCAAAGTAAAACAAAGTGGCACCTCAAAGGCTAACTATTATATTTCAAAACAAAGTGGCACCTCAAAGACCATTATATTTTAATGTGAGCTTTCATGGACACGTCCACTTCATCAGACATATAGAAACAGAATGAAAAGTTGAATGAACTAGCAGTTTTATACTAAATATTGATTGGCTCTTGGATGTACGTTGCATTTACATGCAGTAAATATACATGTAGCCTATACAGAAGCATAAAATAAAATGTGCTTTCCACCCAGGTTATAGTCTGAACGTATAACGTGATGTAGTTGCAAAGAGTGTTAATTGGGTGACTGGAAATGTAGACATCACATCAGACAAATCAAACCACATCAATATTCTGGAGCCCTAGGGAAGCCACTATTCTCTTACTTAGTTCACCTGCAACATGGGGGTAACAATACTGACCTAATTTATGAGGCTGTAGGGATTTTCAGTTAGATTGGAGCATGCATTAGGGTTCAGTTTCCTTGGTCAGCTGCCAAAGGAGACAGCTGTAGGTTGACCCTGCTGGTGGTAAACTAACACACTAGGGAGAAAAACATACTAACTTTGTTATTTAGCTCTTTCTCTCTGGTTTTACACTTTCTTGAACTTAGTGGAGGTTTCATGTTTGTTTCTTTTTTGTTTGTTTGTTTCATTACGGAAGCCCATTCCAATGATTTGTGCTGCTTTGACAGGGCTTTTTAATATTATTCTGCTTTTGTGAACTGTAAACATGTAAGCTCATAGTCATCTTCTTCAGCTCTTTATTGTTTCTCCTATATGAATCATCTTCTAAAGTAGTCTTGTAAAATCAGTTGCACTGGGATGTGTGCATGGCTCATGCTACCTCTTTACCAATAAGATTTGTCATTGTTCCATCAGTCCATTTGATCATATAAATTTGCTGGGGAAGTGCTTTACAGTCATGGTTTTATGATGCATATGATAAATATTTCACTAGGTGATTGTCAGTGTGAAGGCAGGTTGTCTGCCAGATAAAATGCCACAAGAATATTCAGAATAGAAATGTCGCTTTTCTGTTCTACATTTATTGAAAAACATTGACCTGTGACCCAGGCTTCATTTTTTCTCAGTGTGATGGAAATAAAATACATAATTTTTCAGCAGAGAAATATTTCCTGGGATATGGACATGATGAGACAAATACAAGTCACTGTCTTTATTCATATCAGCTGAAGAAGTCATTCATTATTGTTAGATCCAAGGTAGATAAACCAAGCCTTAATGCTTTATATTTCAACATTAATAACTACATAATGTTAATGGGCTACCATGTACAATACAGCAATGAATGTGCGGATGGTCTATTGTAGGAAAATAAATTCCTGAAATATAAAAGGAAAACAGGTTTATATTTCATTTCTTTTCATGATGAATATTATAAAGAGATGGATATATTAATCCTCCTTTGTAACTTAAAGGCCATTTAGTCATCTGCTATAAAGATGAAATGAAATCCTGTTAAGTCATAGTTTTAAAAATTGAAAAGTATTCAACATCTCACTTTAATAGAAAAATGTGATAATATACTAAGGATTATTGTTTACATGTATTAGGTGTATAACAACATGTACTGTTTATACTTACGCATATGTTCTCACAGATCACAAATATGTTACTTGCCACATTTTCCCTTCAACTTTAAACCTTCTAAGTTATTGAATTCAGAAATTGAGTGGTTAATAGCTATTTTAAGAGACACAATATCTCAAAGTTCTGTTTGTGATGTTAAATGAGAATTTTCTGTATGCTAGGCTCATTCATCTCCTTGTATTTTTGACACACAGTGTCATTTTCTGAATTTGCTTTAATCAAAACCTAGTATCCATTAGTGAAACCCAATTTATACACAAAGGCCAAAATGCAGTTGCTTTTTACTGCATGTGAAAGGGAACTGTGTAAGCTACAGTGGCTAACTGACAAACTGTTGATCATACGGCAATTGTGGGCCTCGTCACCTCTTCAATTAGCTGCAACAGTTGTCTTCTACACATAATTAAAAGCAATAGGAATGGGGGGGTAGATTTGAATTGTAACACTGCATGTGATACCCCTTTTGCGTGACAGGCAAATAGATGAAGCATGAAGGGGCTCCAATTGCTCATAATCCTAAATAAAATAATAGGATTAAATATAATACAAAAAGGGAGAAGATATTTAGAGCAACATGTGACTACTGTTACATTCTGCTTCTTCTTTAAATTTTGTTATGAGCCATCTTGAGTCCCAGTTCTGGAGTAAAGATGGGGTATTAAATGAACTAATGTTCTTCTTAGTATGGGACCCTCTGGACCCCCCAGTCACAGCATTTTACTAATTTGAATTTTACATAGGAAATAGATATAATACAGTTACATGAGTCTGAGCTTTAGCCAGTTCTCCTCTTATAGCCAACAGAAAATGTTGATACAAAAAGGGAATATGTGCACTCCGTTACTTGCAAATGTGTGTATAGTGTGACAATATTGATAAGATCTTTTCTTCTTATACCTTGCCTAAAATAAATCTGGTTCTCTGACAGGCGATGTGGCTACAGCAAAGCTAAGCAAGACCCTGAAGAAGAAAAAATGCACTTTCACAATGGCCACAGTGAGTAACGGTCAGATAATATGCTAGTTAACCATTCTGGTAAAGTTTTTTTTAAGTATTTGTACTGTGTAATGTATAACATCATACTTAGGTCAGAATTATTGCTTGGCAGAACCATTGAGCTCAGCTCGTCTGACTTTAGATAGAAAGTGAAATGATTGCGTTCCCTTTAACCAGAACTCCAGAATGGTTCGTGGTCTTCTGTAGTTCACTCCACTGTAGTAAGGATAGATAATTCCTAGTAGATAGTCATGTTCTATATAGTTTGTTTACTAGTTTAGAAAGTATGGATAAGGTCAGTTTGTGCCAGTTCCTATTGCATTCATCCTTTACTGCTTGTAATGTCTTAAAATTTTAATCCCATGTACAGTTAAGTTGCCTGGAGTAAGAACATACATTGACCCGCATACTTATGAAGACCCCAATCAAGCTGTTCATGAGTTTGCCAAAGAAATAGAAGCTTCATGTATATCAATTGAAAGAGTTATTGGAGCTGGTAAGTAAATCCAGATAGATAGTGACTTTATGTTAGCATGGTGATAATGATAGGAGTAAGCTAACTAACATGCAGTGCAAAGTGGTGTCTAATGACTAGACTGGAAAAAATGAACATAAGAAGAGCCCTGCTGGATCAGGCCAAGGGCCCATCTAATCCAGCTTCCTGTATCTCACAGTGGCCCCACCAGATGCCTCTGGGAGCACATGAGACAACTAGATACCTGTCTCCTGATACCCCTCCCCTGCATCTGGCATTTTGAGGTACTTGCCTTTTAAACTGGAGATTATACATCCCCATCATGGCTTGTAACCTGTGATGGAGTTTTCCTTCAGGAATCTGTCCAAACCCCTTTTCACGGCATCTAGGCCAGATACCACCACCACATCCTGTGGCAAGGGGTTTCACAGACTAAAAGCACACTGGGTAAAGAAATATTTTCTTTTATCTGTTCTCACTCTCCCAACACTCAGTTTAAGTGGATGTCCCCTGGTTCTAGTATTGTGTGAGAGGAAAAAGAGCTTCCTTCTATCCACTTTATCCATCCCCTGCATAATTTTATATGTCTCAATCATGTCCCCCCTCAGGTGCCTTTTCCCAGACTAAAGACACCCAGACACTGTATCCCTTTCTCATAAGGGAGATGCCCCAGCCCAGTCTCATTTTAGCTGCTCTCTTCTGTACCTTTTTGAGTTCTACTATTTCTTTTTTGAGGTGTAGCGACCAGTACTGTACACAATACTCCAGGTGTGGCCTTACCATCATTTTGTACAATTGCATTATAATACTGACTGTTTTATTTTCAGTCCCCTTTATAATGATACTTAGCATGGCACATGGTGGCACTGCGGGTTAAACCACAGAAACCTCTGTGCTGCAAGATTAGAAGACCAGCAGTTGTAAGATTGAATCCCCGCACCAGAGTGAGCTCCCGTCACTTGTCCCAGCTCCTGCCAACCTAGCAGTTCAAAAGCATGTAAAAATGTGGGCAGATAAATAGGTACCACCATGGTGGGAAGGTAACGGTGTTCCGTGTCTAGTCATGCTGGCCACATGACCATGGAAACTGTCTATGGACAAACGCTGGCTCTACGGCTTGGAAACTGGGATAAGCACCGTCCCCTAGAGTTGGACATGACTGGACTAAATGTCAAGGGGAACCTTTACCTTTACCTAGCATGGAATTGGCCTTCTTTACTGCTGCCACATACTGAGTTGACACTTTGATCAAGCTGTCCACCAGCACACCAAGATCTCTTTCCTGACCTGTCATGGACAGCTCAGAACCCATTAGCTCTGAGTTCTTTTGGCCCCGATGTGCATTACTTTACATTTTCTTATACCGAAACGCATTTGCCATCTTGCCGCCCATTCTCCCAGTTGGGAGAGATCCTTCTGGAGCTCTTCACAATCCCTTCTGGTCTTCACCACCCTGAAAAGTTTTGTTTCAAGAGTGAACTCTTTTGTTCTTGATCAAATTGAGTGCTTATAAAAGCAAAACTAAGTTTGCAATAGGCAACTTGAAAGTACAGTTTGACTTATAAATAGTCTAGAAGAAACGGATTTTGGAAACATTAATTATACATTTCCTGCCCATGCTGGCTGGGAGATTCTAGAAACTGCTGATCAAAAAGTATGTTTTCAGGTGCTGAGAAGAAAGTCTAAATCAACATACTTTAACGAATCCTTTATTAAATTCCGCACTGGTTGATCACTTGTTTGTGGATAAGCTGCTGTTAGCGGAGCCATCAGCCGTAGTTTTGACACCTGGATACTGTCTCTCACTTGCTTCAACTTGAGAGACAGGAACAAATTCCCACCAAAGGGAAAAAAAGATGAAAATATGGTGCCCCACAAAAGAAAAATAAAGTGTCAAAGTATGCCAATGAGACACCATGGTGTTGTGTTTGGTTCTACCAGACAGTGACAAGGGCTGGCACAGCTATGGCACATACCCTTTTCAGTCTGTGTTCAAGAAGGAAAAGATTGTGGCATTAACCCAGTTGGGGCCATACTTGGCCTCCATCAAGAAAGAAGAGAAAGTGGAGGACTAGCTATCACCCTGTGTCCAAAATACCTAAGACTGTCTTCAAAGCCAGTCCTCCCTAGGAGGAGCGATCAACAAAGTCATCTGCACAGTATTCCTATTCATAATACTCAAAATGTGGCATCACTCCATGAAATTGATGGGTGACAATGCAAGCACCCTCAGGGGAGCGGAAAGGAAGAGGTCCTTAACTCTGGAATCCAAAAGGGGCTTCCTGTTCCCTCTGATGACTTAGAATTCTTCTCCTGCTATACTTTACAGCTTTGTTCTCTTCAAACCTTTCTGCCACTGTACTATCCATTTCCTAAATCCCAAATTCAGAAGGAATCCCTGCATCTTTTCATTCCTACTGTCCCATGCTTTTTCCTGCCATACTTCCCAGCTGCTGGCTTCTCCTCTCCAACTCCATCTGGCACATCTAACCCCCTACGCTGGACCAAGACTCAAATGTCCCAGGCAACTTTCTTTCTCCCTCCCCCCGCTTCTCCCTTCTTCCTTCTAATCAGCTTGACTTGGTTTTCCCAGTAGAGAAGGAAAATGCAGCCTCTTCTATGGCGCACAAAACGCCATAGGGATTCTCCTACGAAAAAGATCACCTGCACAAGCTGCTTCAGTAAAGAATTCCCCTGAAAATGTAAGGGACTGGGAGCTGTTCCTATTTATTTTCCTTGCATTCCACAATAGGATTACTTCTAGATTCTATCACTCTCTAGATTTTGCCACCTTGGGACAAAACCTCAGTTGTCCTGCCCTAGTTGTGACCCTGCCTGTTAAGTGTTCAGAAATACTTAGCAACACCTCCTAAATATTTATAAAATTTACTGTAGAATCTCTGTTTGTTAATGCTGGAGAGATTCTGAAGTATAGATATCAATCTAACTGACTTCAGAATTTACATTGAACATCCCCTCCCCCAATGTAGTTTCATCCTAGAATTTCCTTAAAATGCAATCTTGAGTATCAGTTCACGTAATTGGGATATGTATGTAGCTGTATTATTGCTTACTGTATTATTTCCATTTTATGACTGTTACATAGAGCACATTCAAGCAGGTGACTATATTGGGTCCTCAGTTCTTCAAAGCCTAGAACTTCAGCAATTCTTTTATTTTAAGTTATGTTGATATATATATATCAGGGAATCAGGGAATAATATCAGATTCCAACTCATGTTTCATTTTGTTTGTAGGTGAATTTGGAGAAGTATGTAGTGGGCGTTTGAAAATACCTGGGAAACGTGAATTGCCAGTTGCCATTAAAACCCTGAAAGTGGGCTACACTGAGAAACAAAGGCGAGATTTCTTGGGAGAAGCCAGCATAATGGGACAGTTTGATCATCCCAACATAATTCACCTGGAAGGAGTTGTTACAAAAAGTATGTACCTAGTGCTGATTATTGCTTTGATTACAGAAATCGTGGTTTATAAAATACCCTGTAAGCAGGCATTTTAATGCTGTGTATTTACACTGGTGTGCCTATCTGTTGAACTTATTGGGGACCTGCTGTTGCCATAGTAATTGGGCCATTCACAGTGTTTTCTCAAGCACTTTTGTAATTTTATTAATGCAACATCAAAATGGTGAAAAAGACTAACCAGGATATCCAGCATTCTATCTCTCTTTTTTTTTCCAAGGCTAGAAGTAATCTATACACCTCCCCCCCATCTTTCCTTTTTTACCTCTCATGAAGCAGAGCTTGCAGCCTAGAGATCTCCCCACACAAAGAATTGTATGTATTGGATCTGTTGCATTGAAAAAAAAACCTGGCCTTTCTGTCACTAACCTATATTTTGGAAACAAGGGCTAAAATGGCAAGCTGAAATAAGCAGCGTGGCATACACATAACAGGAGGTAGAGCAGAAGAAACAGTGAATTGTGCACAAATGTTAGTCCCCAGAAAACCCAACTTTTCTGGAGAGTTTTACTGGTTGAAGGCTAAAATATTACTCATTGGAGCTAACCAGGCTATAAAAAGCTGACTGAGAGATCCTCAGAGCAGAAAATTATGAGTAGAATACAGTACATGCAGTCTGCCAATACCCTTCCCTCTTGGAATGTTTATTTCTGATGAAGACCTTCCCACAGCTTAGTGTTTGAGCAAGTTGTTTTGTGGAGAGCAGCATCAGGCCTTTCCTCTCACCTTCAGATAGCAAAGAGTGGGCTGAAGGGGCACAAGATGGAGGGAACAGCAGCAGTGTGATGCAATGCTTCTCCTGCCACCTTAGGCAGTCAATGAATAACGCATCATTGGAGTTACATATTATAAGACAAACAGGACAACAACGGGCAGCTTGTATTTGAGTCCCCTCACCTTAAGAAACTGTGCATCTACACTTGAATTCCCAAGTTGTTATGCTAAATATTTCCCTATCCATGGCCTTAAAGGCCCGGAAGGAAAAGACACAAAATCGGGCCTTCTCGGCAGTGGCTCCTCGCCTCTGGAACAAACTTCCTCCGGAGAGTCGTGCAGCCCCTACGCTGGGTATCTTTAAAAGCCAAGTAAAAACATGGATATTTATTCAGGCCTTCCCTCCAGTCAATACTTGATTCTCTCTTCTCATTTCTCTTTAATTTATTTTTACTCTATTTTCTTGGTTTCCACATTTTCATTTGTAGATTTATGTAACTATGTGTTTTTATTAATTGTTTGTATTATATGGAAGCCGCTCAGAGTGGTCACATAGACCAGATGGGCGGGATACAAATCAAATAAAATCAAATCTAAACAAACAAACAAACAAACAAACAAACAAACACACACACACACACACACACACACACACACACACACACACACACACACACACACACACACACACACACATACATACATACATACATACATACATACATACATACATACATACATACATACATACATACATACATACATACATACATACATACATAAAAAATGGAGTTCTGATGGCAACGCAAAGGATATAACCATGTCAGAACCCAAGTTAAATTCTACTGATGGCTATCAGGGACTGGGGAACTCAAGGAGTTCTGATGGCAACACAAAGGATATAACCATGTCAGAACCCAAGTTAAATTCTACTGATGGCTATCAGGGACTGGGGAACTCAACACAAAGCTGCTGTTTCTCAGGATCCCTGCCATGCCTCTTAGAACACATAGTTCCATCCTTATGCATTTCATGTTGTTCCTATTTTATGAAGTGAGTTCATCTTGTCAGTTTCACTGCTAGACCTTCCTAATGATATCAAGGTCACTGGTTCAGAAAACTTGCCACTTCCTTTTAATTTTTCTTGCTGAAACTCACACTTATTTGTGTCTTTAGTCTCATGTTCTCTAATATGATGCTAATCTATTCAGCAATTACTCTCAACCTGCAGCATGCAGATAATGAAGCATAAGGTCAAAGAAATGTGACTTCCTAATGATTGAAACAGAGGAAAGGGGGCATCAGTATTACTCGTGGGGGCTGGTGTCATTATGAGGTGGCATCCTCTTTCTAAAGCTGCTTTTAAGTGCTTGAGATAAGGGAACACCACTGTACATCTCACTTGTGATCTGCTATTAAAACTGTGTGTGTCATAAATGCTGGTGCAGTCTTGAGAGATTTTATGATAAATGAGCAGAAGACCAAGCTCTTCCCTTAAATTGCTCATTTGTGATGCCTAAACACATCAGCTAAAGCCAGGACCGTGGGTTATCTTTGGAAGGCTAATAGTTTCCCGTGCATGTGTCTGTCACATCACCCTTCCAAGATGAGGAAAATGGCTGCATGACCCCAAAATACTGCTGTCTGCTTGAAAAGGTATATCAGTTCAGGAATTACTGCTTGCTAGCCAAGAAGAATCACTTTCACCCCTACTGAATTCAAGTGGGAAATCTGTTGCCTTGGTTTGCGGGCAGGAGACCTCTCTCAGACCCCAGTTGGTAAATGTCCTGACAAAACCCAAGACAAGACAAAATGGGTACAAATGTGGGACATGGACAGGGGAATCCTGGGTTGAAATCTCCACAATTGACATGAGAAATGCCCATGACAGCAACAATTTCTACAGGAGATGGGTCAGTGGATATATGCATACTCATACATGCACGTACATTCTTCTTTAAATCCCTTTCTATCTGCATCTTGGTTCTTCTTCTTGGCTTCTGTGAATCACACTCTAGATGATCCGTGCATAATGGAGCCTCGTCAGAATGTTGTAGAGCTTCTTCAGTAAGAAAACATACATTAGTACAAGCCCCTCCCCCCTTGGCACCAAGGTTCTCCCTTCAATTTCTCTTCAGCCCTCATGTTGAGAGCCTCACTTGTGCTTCTATGAGTTTTTTTTCTCTGAAAAAAAAAGATAGAGAAAAGAAAAGAGAAAGAAAAGAAAATCCTTTATTATTATTTTAATCTTATTTCTTTATCAACTATTTGGCACTGTCCTTCTTTGGGACTGGGATGTAGACTATTCTTTTGCAATCCTCTGGCCACTGCTGAGTTTTCGAAACTTGCTGGCATATTGAATGTAGCACTTTAACAGCATCATCTTTTAAGATTTTAAATAGTTCCACTGGAATGCCATCTCCTCCACTGGCCTTGTTGTTAGCCATGCTCTCTAACGTCCACTTGACTTCGCTCTCCAGGATGTCTGGCTCAAGGTCAGCAATCACACCATCTAGGTTGTCCGGGACGTTGAGATCTTTCTGGTATAGTTACTCTATGTATTCTTGCCACCTCTTCTTGATGCCTTCTGCTTCTGCAAGGTCCCTACCATTTTTGTCCTTTATCATGTCCATCTTTGCACAAAATGTTCCTTTAATACCTCCAATCTCTGGTTTTTCCCTTTCTATTATTTTCCCCTATATCTTTGCACTGTTCATTTAAGAAGGCCCTCTTGTCTCTCCTTGCTATTCTTTGGAAGTCTGC